AAGATCCACCAACAACTAATAAAATATTTATATAAAAAAGTGTTATATAATAGAGATATGTACAATGTCCTTTGGGGGGGGGGGATGAGTGTGGGGGTGTGCCTGGGGAGGAGGGTTCTTTTATCGAACATCTTCAAGTTCCAAACACTGAGACAGGGATTTGGATGCAATGAGACCAACAAACAAGTGACTTGACAAGATCAGAGAAATTGACACGGTCCTTGGGTGGGTTAGCTCCAGAGGCCACACCATGTGCATTTCCATTGACCTGCCCCACAAGGGTTGGCTTGGTAATCACTAGCACACCCTACTCTGCCACTGACCCCTTGGATCCTTGTCAGTCTTGTGGTGATTTTCAGCCATTTGCAACTTTTATTCTACGTGAACTTCGATTTTTCTGAGAATTACTAAAGTAAGACAATAAACCGATAACAGTGATAATCATCATCAACAACAACAAAAACAAATTCTGCTTTGTAATGTGAATAGGTCTCACATTATTCATTTGCTGATTTGAAAGAGTGAGCTAACTTGTTTTTTAATCTACTATTTCCATTTTAAATAAGAGGTTCTCAGTGAGTGTTTGTGGAAGAATGGACGTTGAATACACGACTTGCATTCTGAGTTGGGACCAGGAGAACAGCTCACCACCTTCTCTTCTTGTTGTGTCTTGCGCTTGAACTGGGGGTTGAAAAGCCATGGGGAATTGAAATGGGGAAGGAACCACTGAGACTCTTACACCTTGCTATTTGGAGTCCTCCTGGAGAAGGGCTGAAGCGGTTGGTTTAGCACACACACAGACAGAAGGTAGGTGGCTATCTAAAATAGAAGCAAAGAGGAAGAGAATAGAGGAATGGTAAAAGCAAACAAAATTGCATCAAGTCTTGGAAGGAAAGCCAACTCTCAGCTCTTCCTCTTATTGCTTCTCCCATTTCAAGATCATTCAGAAAAGACCATGTAAGAGCCTGTGGTTTCTTCAGTGAACTACAAGGGACCAAAAACCATAGCTAGACCCACCAGGGATGGAAGACGGAGGAAGCCTGGAGGGGCAGGTCTTTCCCATTCTGTCCCCAACCCTCCCAGGCAGGCCTTGGCTTCTCCTAATGCTCCTTGCCTAAGGTGTCCTGCTCGTCCTCCCAGCCCAGCTGATCTGCCGGGCTCCGGAAGACAGAAGTGTGGGCAGAGCTGGGAGGTGAGGGCAGGCACCGCAGCGGTGGTGCCCGGAGGAGCACTTGCTCATTTCATAGCTGGGTTTACTGGCATCATGAGGTTTCACTGTTGACTGTCAGTCTACCATCCATCAATCCTGTCCTGCTGGAGGCAGCGCCCAGGTCCCATGGGCCTCTGAAACATTGGTCTGTTCTCTTCCCTGCCTATTAGCCCCAGTAAATAAAGGAAACGGAGCCACAGATGGAAGTTGTTTGCTGCACCAGTGTGTCTGGGGCCAGGGAGACTGTGGCTGATGTCTCTGCCAGGAAACACACCAGCTGGTGATGTTTTTACGTCTGCTCTCCCCGGTTCTGATGGGGAGCAAATGGGAGGATTGATGTGCTGAGCCTGCCTTATTTTCCCTCCAGCTTCCATTTTGGGTTTACACACTCTTGGCAGGAGGGCTTCGCAGCTGCAGGCTCTGCTTCTTAGGCATCCTCAGCTGAAGCTGTGATGATTGGCCCTTGGGGATGAAGGAAGGAGGCGGATAACTTCCTGCACCTGCTCTGGCTTGCATGAGGGATTCCCCCTTCTCACCCATTAGACTGAAACTACTTGGGACAAAGGGACTATTTCTAGCTTATTGTAATGGAACAAGAGGATTGAATTCTAAGTTCAGAAGGAAAGCCTCATGGATAACATAGTGCTGCACCTTGAGAAGAGACAGCCTGGATCCCATGTCAAGACCATCCACCCGTTGGCTCAGTCACACCGAGTTCCTCAAAGCTAAAGGCATTTCAAAGTCTTTGTGCTATACAATTCTGAATTTGTAGATGTCTTAGGGTGAGTGACTTTGTGAAGTTAATGTCTGTAGCTCTCAGTGTCCTCTTTTGTGGAATGAATAGAAGGATAAATGAATAAGTCTCTCTCTCTCTCTCTGTTTTAATTCTAATCCTTGTAAGTTTTCCTATTTTTATAAATGCTATTAATTTGTATAAAAAATTTCATGTGTTTCCAAAATTCCATTTTACAATGAGATGTTTTTAGCTTGAGTTTGTTATAGTTTCTCTTTTCCAAGTCATAAATGCATGTGTGAATATTTACATGTTTATGTGTTGGTCTTTTTTTTAAGAAGATTTTTAAATTTTTATTATATATATATATTTGTGGTGATTGAACCCAGGGCCTTGTGCATGTGAGGCAAGCACCTACCAACTGAGCTATATCCCCCTATGTGATGATGTTTCATATCTTATTTTGAAAGACATGTGTCATCATTATGAAACTCAGATTGCCCAGGTTGGATATTGGCTTTGATTCATCAGTAATTCCAGCTTAAGCCAGTGGCTCACCCTTATTATATTCCAATTTTTCTTTGATAAGATGGACATAATAATAATAATGTCTACCTCTTAATGTTGCTATGATAATCAATGAATTTATATAGTGAGTACTTACAACAATGTTATTATTGTGGGAAATGACTGAGAAATATGATTTTGGAGTTTTTGCTTTCAGGAAGTTGTTTTCTGGTACATGAACATCTTCACCTCATTCATGAGACCTCAAATTTTATATTCATGTGAAGTTTCCTTTCTTAATTTTTTTCCTTCCCCCATTTTCCCTTTCTTCCTCCAGTATCTTCTCTTTACTCCTTCCACTGGGGCCTTTCTTTCTTCTGTCATGAGAATGAAGTCCCTATCCATGTCTCTTTTTTGCCATATAGAATAGATGTATATATACACATACACATACACACAAGCATGCATACGCTTATGTATGTATTGGAAGTTATAATTGCACTTCCTTTAGGGACTGAGTTTTTCCTCAGTAAAGAGAAAGATATTAGTAAAATGAACTCCTGATTTGTTTTTTCTTAAATAGAAAAATAATTCTATTTAAGTGAAAAAGGTTGGGAAGAATGACTGATCAACCTGGTAGGAATGAGCGCATTTCCTATCCAACTGTTGTCGCCAAATACTATTTCTTACTGAGAAACTGAAGCTTCTTCCAGAAGTAGATCGTTACATGTGTGGGATAGGAAATGCATAAGACAATTCTGGACCATCTTTTCACCTCAGAAGGCAAGGGAACTACCAGAGGCCCTTGGGGACATGTTAAAATGACTTAAGAGCAATGGAAAGTAGTTTGTAAGGTCTAAAGATGAGCAACATAAACATCAAAGGAAAGAATAGCTGCAATACATTGAAATACATCATTTATGTAAAAATTCCTTGAACTCATAATGTTATTTTAGATAAGCAGAGGAATCACTGTTACAGTTGGAGAATTCTAGGGACTCCACTAATTATTATGAAAATTAGTGAATAAAAGGAAAGATGAATCATTTTCCCTGTCTTTTTAGTCAAATATTAACTCAAGACAACCAAGTAGTCGATATTAGAAAGTTTCTTTTTCTTTATAAAAGTATTCCTGATTATAAATTAAGGAGGAAAATTAAAATAAAGATTATTATTATTAATAGTAATAAAATCAATAGGTAAAATGCTAATGGATAATATTATGAGAGATGGATTTGGCTGGTGACACTGATACCCATGGATCCATCTTAACATCATATAAATAGAGGTAATTAGGTATTAGGTGCTACCTAATGGAACCTCACCATATCATAAAAATTAACAAAATTTGAATGTGATCAAATCATTAAATCTATCCAACAGTTTCCAGGAAATACAGGAGACAGAGGAATACACTAAACAATACCTATTGTGTGTACTTGGCCAAATGTCGAGTGAGAAGCCTTACCCAAAAAGTTACATGTTATGTCAACAAATTATTAGGGAAAACGAAAGAGGTTGAGTAAACCTATAGATAAAAAGAAATTAAGAGACACGTTAACTGCTGCCACAAAGAAATGGAAGAATGAGCGGACTGGATATTTGATAATACAGTGGGATTGCCATTAATTTTTTAGACATGTAGTGGTATTATGAACATGTTTGAAAAAAGAGGCCTTCTCTCTGAGAGATATACACTGAAATATTTAAAAACAACACAGTAAAATGGGATTTGCTTAGAAATTTTGGGATATGGGAATTGGTGGGGTAAGAATGAAAATGATTCCCTGTGAATTCACTACTTTTGAAAGCTGGAAATGGACACACAGAATTCCGTTATATGAGTCTCTTGATCCTTGTTTGTAATTATGTTTGTAATTTTCTCCAGTAAAAGTTTTAAAATCCAGCGAAAGCAGTGGTGGCCACACTCTGTTTTCCTGGAGCCTCTCCACACCCTGCTGCCTGAGCTCTTCCTCAGTGCTCTGGACTCTGTGCCCTCCTGGCCATTTGCTGGTCATGATCTCTTCACCCAGGCCCAAGAGGGTCATGACTTTTTTGGACAAGCCGTCTGGTTTTGGTTTCCCTGTTGCCACTGAATGCTTTCTCTTTTCTTCTACTTTTTCAAAAGCCAGCCTCCATCTTTGTTAAGGTTTAGACTTGGAAAGTCCCTCAGAGTCTCATGTTTTGAAGACCTGGTCAGAGATGGGGTTTGGGGAAGTGATGACGAGGGCTCTGACCTCAGTGTGGATTAATCCACCAGTGGCTGAATGGACTACTGGGAGGGGGTGGAAACTACAGGCCGTGGAGCATGATTGGAGGAAGCAGGCCCTGGGGGCATGCCCTGGTATTCCTTGTTTTGGTTTGCTCCTCTCTCCCTGCTCAGCTCAGTGAGTTGAGTAACTTTCCTCTGCCTTGCTCCACCATGGTGATATGCCTCATCTCATGCCTGAAGCAATGGAGCCAGCTGGCCAGGGTCCATACCGCTGAAACTATGAGCCCAAATTAATCTTTCCTCCTCTGAGTTGTTTTCTTTTTTTTTTTTTTTTTCAGGTAATTGTGAAAGTGGAAAAAATAAAAAATGCTGGCTGACACAACCTTCATCACAGGCCTTGCTCCACCTCAAAATAACTTCACGCATGATGCTTTCAGGGATTTATAACTCACCCCTACTTTGCTCCAGATACCCCCTCAAAAGGGTGTGAGAATCGTTCATTCTTTTCTATTCCCGACGAAATGGTACCTTGGTGGTGGCATGACTTCTTCGGGAAGGCAAGTGGGACTGTTAAGAGCCATGAAAAACATAGGTGCATGGGAAAGACAGAAATCATGCTTCTAATATGACAATGTGGGTTGTGTGGAATAGACGGAAAGTCCCTGTTCTGCCATCCCCAGCTCTCTTCCCTTCTTTCAAAGGAGAACTATGGGGTTGGAAAAGAGGCATTTTGGCATGGTGACAACTTTTCTGGAGGAGTTGATCAAGATCATTCTTAGTCAATATGGAGGAGGGCTTTACAAAGAGCACCAGTCTAGGGCAAGGAGAGTGAGCAGCTGACATGGTCGTGACAACAGCCCTGATTCTCACTGACCTGAGGGTTCTCCTGGGTCACAGACTTCCAGGTAAAACCAGAAAATTACTGCACAAACCAAGATAAATTGGCCACCCAACACTAAGACCAAGGAGACATTTCTTAAAAAGAATACAGGACATATCATGTGAATAGAAAAATTCTTTTTATCATTGGCAACAAGGCTCTTTTCTCCAGGAAAAACTAATTGCTATGACAACATATGTTTGCTCTTAATTACCTTGCCACAGCCAAAGCTGATTGGGAGACTAGCCTAGATTTGGAGTTCTCCAACTTATGAGAACACCTTCTGGGGTTTTCTACTCTAAAGCTAGTAGAAATCCAGACAAAGAAAATCTCCAGAAACACTTGTGAAAGACTTATAATTTCAAAATAGCAATGTAAAATTAATAGAAACAGTATAATTATCAAAAGAGTTTGCAATTCCTTTTCAGTTGTCATTTTTGTCTTTGGGAAGATATTGAACATTCGTTCTAAAAGTCAGTGGAATAATTCTTTTCTCTGAATGGGTTGCCATTAATTTCAAACACAATTTCACTTTCTTCATTTTTTTTTTTTGGTTATGAAATAAAGTTTGTTGCTCACACAGTAAAGGACTGTCAGTCGTGTACAAGAATGTTCTCTGAAGAATTGTTTGGGATAACAAAGAACTAGAAATAACATAAATGTTCATTAACAAAGGAACTTGATTAATAGTAATGTAATCAAATCACAGAACAGAATACCGTTCACTTTCTTTATTTTGATTTTGCCTTTTAGGATTTCTAATTTGAAAATTTAAGAACACATTGTTATGTGACTCCTATTTCATAAGGTTGCCCTTCCATCCAAAATTAACACAAAACTAATTTTGCGTTTGTAAGATGGAGAATAGATTCCTTTTGATCAGAACAAAGTAAGCAGGAAAGAACTAGAAGTGGAAATTGTGATTAACACAGAATGCATAAAGTGTATTGGTTTTGTGGAAAGGTGTCATGGGACCACCAGACTACATCTAAAGCTGTATTGTAAGTGCATTTTTTTTTTAGCTAGAATTTCCATAACTTTCACTAGATTACAAAGGAGACTTTATTACCAAAAGAGATTAGGACCATTGTATTAGAGTGCTGAAGGGCTAAAGGAGAGACCAACAATCAGTAAAACCACTGTTCTGACAGAAACCTGTCATGCCCTTGATTCTGACATCCAGAACCAGCAACACCTCGAAATGGGATGTGTATTGTACCCAATGGCATCTTAGGTCAGATGAAATACAGTAATTATTTGTGGAATTTTGAGATTATCTTTTATTTCTGTGATTCTTAATAAGGAAGACTTGTCAAAAACACGGGTCAATACACTGTCAAAAGAACTTTGGATTCAGGGCCAGGAGACCTAGAATTCCTGGCCCTGACACTTTCAAGCTGTAGGAACTTTAGCACATCATTTAGCACTTCACCTTCTGAGGTCTAGGCTCATTTCCACATCTGTAGGATATAAAGGTGTAATCATCTGATTCTCAGAATTCCTCTAAAAGCACCTGAAGTGGGAAGCAGGTAACAGTTGGTGAGTGATTCAGGAAGTCCCCCACCTTCAACCTAGAATAGTTTTGTTAGAAGTTCTACAAATCAGACTTGTTCTTAAATTTTTGTTGGAAGAATAGTTTCTGTTATTTTTCATTTAACAGTGCCAAGTCACTTAATGTTTGAAAGATGATCAGAGTGATTATAGAAGCACAGATGTTGGGTTAGATAACCTGCCTGCCTAGTCATTCTTGCCATGTAACATTGGCCCAGTAATTATAACTGGAATAACTTTGGTACCTCCCTAATGGGGTTGGATATCAAAAAGATAGTTCATAGGAAAGGCTAATTTGATTTCTGTGAATTGCATGTAAACTAATTCTGTCCCTTGGGTTAATGAGAGTTAGTGAATGTTGGGGTCTTCATGTCTCTCCAAAGATTATCTACTTTGGTATTTGGTCTTCCCAAGTTCATCTCAGAATGTTTTATAGGTCTTTGGACCCATAGTCAACTTCTGAGAGACATTCACCACTGGAGATGACCTCAGCATTTTGGATGGGTTATTATTTGTTGCAGAAAATCAAAGGAGTAAGGAAGAGCTCTCAGAATGATCAGAAATAGCAGAAATGCCTAGAACTACAGGTTGAAATTTAATTAAAAAGTATTCATTGTGGCTTGGTGAGGGCACACAGATAATATGATGTGTTACTGGCATTTAGAGGCTGGGTGATTAACTAAGTCATCAGGGTGGAAACAAAGAAAAATAAGAGGCCGGGGACCCCAGAGGAAGGGCCAAGTTGTCCCACGGGTAGATCTGAGGAAGTTTCCCAAGGGAAATAGCATTTGAGCTGAACTTTGAGGGAAGAAGGAATGATCACAGGTGGGAGGGCAGGAGGGAGAAGGGCTTTTCAGTCAGGTGAAGCAAAAACAGATTACATGACAATAAATAATTACATAACAATAAAAATAAAGCAGAGGTTAAACAAAATCTTCATAACATTGCTTCTTAAGAGTTAGGTACTTAATGAAGTACTTTATATGCACTATTTTCTTGCAGTTCATTTGGTCCTTAAACAACTCTAGGGACAAGTTTTATTACTCTTGTGATTTGGGTATAAGATGTATCAATCAGGGATATTGAAGGTGAAATGAATGGATCTGAAAGCTATAACTGCATCAGTCCATCCTAGAATGAATGGACTGACTGGGTGGTAACCGTAGGCAGATGTGAGGTGTGGCTGGAAGAGGTGTGTCACTGGGCATGTGGCCTAAAAGGGGACATCTGCTCTCTGGTCCCTGCCCCCACCCTCTGCTTCCTGGCCACCATGAATGGGGCAACTTCCATCTTCCATGCCTTCCTGCCATGATGATCTGCTTCACCTTGGGCCCAGAGCAATGAACGTAGACGGAATCTCTGAAACAGTGAGCCAAGATAAACCTTTCCTTCCCCGTTGAGCATTTGATCACAGAGATGAAAAGCTGACTAACACAATTACTATGACCATTTTGTAGATGAGGAAAAGGAAAGAATAGAGAGTGGAGTGTCTTTCCTACACTGGGAAGTGGAATAACATGGATTAGAGCTTAGAAGTTCATCCTTTTAACTAAATGTTCTCATCAATGATGAGGCCGGTCAACCGACTTGGGGCCAGACCAGGGGTAGTTAGGACCCCTATGGGTCGTGATAGCCATGGAAATCCTTACTGGTTCCTCCTATGAGACAATGGCTTTTAACTATTGCACTATTGACACTTAAGGCTGGGTAACTTTTTGTTCTTCAGGGCTATTCTGTGCTTTGTTCAGCCACATCCCTGGTCTCTACCCACCAGATGCCAATAGTGCTTCCTTCCCAAGTTGTGATAAACAGAAACGTGTTTGCAGACATTTCTAACTGTACCCTGGGGGGCAGGATCTCCTGCAACAGGGAACTGCTGTTGTAGGCAGCTTCATACAAGTACTGGTTTGATGCTATGCACAGACTGAGCTGAAGCCAGCAGAAATTCTCTCTGCTGTGCACAAAATTGTCTCCAGCAAACTCTCAGCTTTGAAATTGTGCTTCTCAGCAGCTGGGGTCTTGATTTCCCCCAGGTGACTCACATAGCCCTTGTCTGTGGGAGTCAGTCAGTTATCTGTTATGACAAGGCCCCTTGTGTGTTTGAGGGAGGTGTAGTCTTCGACACTTCAAAGCACACAGGATGCACAATTATGTCTCTGCATTGTGCTTGCCAAAGCATGACAATTGGAACACTTTGATCCATCCAAGGTTGTTTTGTTCTGACCAGCATCAGAAGTTCTGAACCTTAGATTGAGTAGTGAAATTGATTATATATTCCATTTGCTCCAAGCCTACCAACTTGTACCTCTGCTCATCTTTTCATTTTATAGGCCCACCTCCACAGGAAACAGTTATGTAACCTTCTTAATGGCATTTTCCATGGTGACTGGGCTTTCCAGAGTAGGTTGGGTGGTATAGCTGCATTATCAGTATCCCTGGGTAGGCCCAGTAGGAGTTTTTGAGGTTAGGGCTTAATTATAGAAATGAAAACCTCTGGAGACTAAAGCTGGGAGGAACAGTGTGGAAGGCCAAAATTCAAAGTCAGAAGGGTGTCAGCAAAGTTTTTATAAATAAAAGTACTAAAAGCAGATCCTTGCCCTGGGATTTTGAGCCACACCTTTAAATAAGGGAAATGAGACCAAGGGGGGAAGATTCAGGATTGATGGGTGAAAACAGTCACTGCCATGAGGCATTTTTCAAACAAATGTTTCCTAAACACTCATTGTACAACAGACTCTGCACTGAGCATCCTCAGAGCCAATGCAGGATGCAAGCTTCAGCACCCAGAAATGGAGGTGGAGAGAAGCTGAGTCACATGCTCAGAGTCACATGGCTGGAATATGGGAGGACCAGGGCTAGCACTCAGGTCTTTCTGATCCCAGAGCTTGGGATAGGAATCACTGAGGTCTGCACCACGTTCTGAGCAGTGCATGCTCCTAGGGTGGGCCCTGGGAGGGCTGACCTGATTTAAAAGATCAGGGAAAAGGTGGATCAGATACTTCAGATACTTATTTTAATCATCCTCTCAGGGGTGAAGTCAGAGAAGAAGAGGAAGAGTCCCTTGGTCACCACCGCTGAAACACAGCCATGGCGTGTTGGTGCAAACCTCCTAAGAATACAGCAGAGGTTCTGAACCCTCATTCCTCATCTCATGGCCTATACCCCAGAGGGTGTATTAGTTTGCAGAGGTAGCTGTCAAAAAGTACTCCATACTGTTTGATTTAAAGAGCTCTGGAGGACAGAAGTCCAAGGTCAAAGTGCTACACCATTGGTTCCTTCCAAGGTCCATGAGCAAGAATCTATGTGTATGTTTCCTAGCAACTGGGGGCTGCTGGTCATCTTTGGTGCTTCTTGGCTTGTAGATGCCCCATGCTGATGTCTGCCTTCCTTTTCTCAAGGCGTTCTCCCTGTGTCATGTCCACCTGTGTCTAAATTTCCAGACACCAGTCATATAGGATTAGGGCCCACCCAAATGACTTGTTTATTTGCAAAACCCTACTTCCAAGGAACGTCATGTTCACAGGTACTAGGAGCTAGGGAATCAATGTATTTTTGTAATGATTTGTGGAGGGATGCAACTAAGCTCATAATGACGGCATCTCAGTGAAGCACACAGTTGTTGTGGTTTGGGCTCTGGCTAGGGCTCCTCTGTGAGCTGAGTTGGCTATGTGAGAGAAGTGCAGCGTCTGTGCCCTTTGAGACTTTGAATGGAGGTGCTCCACTAGTCTCCTATGTCCTCTCCTGGCCCTGCTCCCCTCTTATTTACATCTAGCCTTTTAGATAATAGTGAGTGGGAAAGAAAAAGATAAGAGCAAGTAAGACTAGCAACACAGGAGAAAACAGAGGGAAGAGTGATCATTTTACCTGTGATTTTCTTTTCTTTTCTTTTTTTTTTTTTTAGATACCAGGGATTTAACTCAGGTACACTAGACCACTGAGCCCCATCCCCAGCCCTGTTCTGTATTTTATTTAGAGACAGGGTCTCACTGCCTCAGTCTCCTGAGCTGTTGGGATTACAGGGGTACCACAAGCAGCTACCTGTGAT